AGGACTTCATTGAAATTTTCAAGGTGGCGCTGTGGAGCCATTTTGGCAGTGACATGTCCAAGTTAATTTTTTTCAGGCAATTTGACAAATTATTCTTAAATTATTTTAACACATTTTACACAAGAAATATTTGTTTTAAATTTTACTGGTAGTTTTAATTTTTATTTATTTTGTCACACAAACATAAAATACAACAGCTGGAATGAATAATTAGTTAATTGAACTCTATTAAATAAATTGCTAACTATACAGATGGTTGAACTGTTTGAGTAATTTCTAAAGAAAAAAAAAGGTAAATTCCATAATATCAGCTTCTTAAATTTGAATATTTATGACAGTAAACTAGCAATTTATCATCTTTGGCTTTTGGAAACACTGATGGACATTTTTTTGACATTTTCTTGACTGAACCACTAATCGAAAATAAAAACAACGCTTATTTGTAGCCTTAAACACGACAAATTCAGTGTTTAATTTCATTCCACTCACCCGGTTTTGTACCAGCCGTTCTTGGTGATGCACTCTCGTGTTTTAGCCTCGTCGTCCCAGTACTCCAGCATCACACAGTATCCTCGGATCATGATCTCCCCGGTCATCCCCAGAGGGACGATCTCTCCGGTGGTAGGATCCACGATTTTAGCCTGTGGAGCAGGTTCCTCATTATTTATACCAGTTGTTAGGCAAAATTACACTTCTTATTGCACCAAATTCATCACGGCTTAATGTTTACGCTGAACATGCAGGTACAGTTGAAACCAGAAGTTTACATACGCTGTATAAAAAGACATATAACCTTTTTTTTCTCACTGTTTGACATTAAATCAGACTAAACTTTTCCTGTTTTAGGTCAGTTAGGATTACTAAAATTAATTCTATTTGCTAAATTTCAGAATATTGAGAGAGAGAATTTTTTTATTACTTTCTTCAAAGTCAGAAGTTTCCACTCACTAAGATGCCTTCAAACTATTTGGGAAAGCCCAGATGATGATGTCATAGCTTTGGACGGTTTTGATAGGTTAATTGACAACATTTGTGGTAATTGGAGGAAAGTGGGAAGCTTGAAGCCTGAGAACACCATCCCAACTGTGAAGCACGGGGGTGGGGGCATCATGCTGTGGGGGTGTTTTGCTGCAGGAGGGACTGGTGCACTTCACAAAATAGATGGCATCATGAGGAAATATTGAAGCAACATCTCAAGACATCAGCCAGGAAGTTAAAGCTTGGGCGCTAATGTGTCTTCCAAACGGACAATGACCCTAAACATATCACCAGATTAGTTACAGAGAGGCTTAGGTTATGTGTCTTTTTATACAGTGTATGTAGACTTTTGGTTTCAACCCTATGTTTACATACAACTGCACCTCTAAAAGCCTCGACATTTAGGCAAATGAGACATCACTGTTTGTTTTTACAAGATGTTTTTACGACAATAATCTGTCGTTGTTTTCACAGTTTATGCACAGACTTACAGGTTATTACATCTCAAGTCATCCCCCCGTTGACCCACTTTTTTCCCACACATTGTAATTTGAGGTTGTTTGAACAACAATAACTCAGAAACTATTAAAGACAAAAACCTGGAATTTTCACTGTTGTCTTCCATCGTGTCATTGATTCAGAATCTGCAATATGGGAAACGTAGATAAAATAGTTTCTGATTATTGGTGAGTTAAAATGTGAAAAAAAATATGAAGGCGTAATGAAAAGTCGCAACTTTAAACTTTAACAAAAAAAAAGGATAATACAGAAGTTAACTGGTGATATTTTCTGAAGCATATGTAAAGAATATGTTATACTGTCACAAAAAGGAAAAAAACTTTTATAAGGGATTGACCAGGTTTGACATGTTGTACCACAAAAACTAAATATTAGCAGATAACCTAAACCAAGTAGAAGTGAGTTCTGGATTTTCAAAATAATTCTCAAAATATGACTACTTTTTGTTTTGTTTTTTTGACCAGCATGTTTAATTTTTTGGTGCCATTGTTCATGTGCAAAAACCTGCTTAAAGTCAGTCAAAGAGCAACTTATTAACAGATTTTATCTCTGAAAGTGTTTAATATTTCAATCTTAAAATTCACAAATATCTTTATAAACATCCACATTTTGCACTTTTCAGGCGAATCGTAGACGATCGAGCAGAAGTTGTTCTGCAGCTCTGAGGTGGAACGACTGTAACTGCCCACAAGACCATCGCATTCTGATGAGTCTGCAGACAATAAGAAGCAGGTTAAAGTACCTCCAGGTGGTCCATGACGTAGCCGACTGTCTCGCATTTTCTCTCCAAGTTGTCCATCGGAGATCCGCAGAGGGTCACCGGGCTGTTCTCTGTGGTTCCGTATCCAACCTGACAAAACACACAAACGGCAGAACATGAGAACAGAACCAAACGTGAGACTGCGACTGAAGCAGGTTCAGTTTAAACAGGTTGGTGAGGATGTGCCGCTCCTCTGATATCTGGAACATCTACACCAACGGGACGCAGTGCAGGGACGGTTCTTTACACCTCTGGAAGGAAATCTAAGGTGCTTTGAACAAAAAGTATCATAAGACAAGTTCAAACACATTTAAAACTACTTTGTTTTTCTTTGCCGGACAGAGGTGAAGGTTTGTATCATGACTTTTTCTCACTGCAAATACAATAAAATGTCAAATACAGTTAAAATATTAAAGAAAAAACAACACACACACACATATTTCAGAGGGAAATAAAGTGCTTTTTACTCGACTGCATTGCTAATTCAGATTTCACTTTCAGTCACAGATTCAGATCTTTCACCAAAAATTACTTTTCACTGCAGAAAAGTCCAAATCTGCAGGACTTGCGGGGCATTTTAGACGTGAGAACCTCAACCCGGAAAAAATTTAGGGAGGGGACGATATTCCCAATAAAATGTTAGATTTGTTAAGTAAACTCTAGATTCCATTTTTCCTGGGTGGGTCCATCCATCTTATAAATGAACCCACCTGAAGCCAAACCATCCTCTGACCTGAGCCAGTCGCACCGAGAAAAAAAATACATCTTTTTTTGCACGGAGGTTTGACTGGAAGTGGCCGTTGCATAACACCGCAGTCAGGAGAAAGAATGCACACAGGAATGTAAAGTGGCATCTGAAGCTTTCACTCCTGCGATGATGGAAGTATCCTTTTTTTTTGCAATTGCTATGACTTGAAACAGCATCTCGCCTCTGGACCGGCCATCTGGAGACTATTATAGGTTATAAAACAGCTGCAGGAGCAGGAGTGGCTCCTTTTTTCCTGCCGCCGCAGACTGAAAAACAATGGAGGTGTCTGGCAGGGTCCAACCTGACCTCATGCCACGTCGTCAAGCCTTCACCTGGAAGACACTCAGAAGTTTTTCTGATTCGTGTGCAGCTCAGCGTCAGTATTTGATTGCAGCTCCTGCAGAAACTTGTCGCCTTCCTGCTCTTTGAGGGTTAAATTCTCACAGACACTTGACTTCCTCCTGCAGACCTCTCGTTCCAACACCCTGGCAAAGCCCTCCTCGCTTTTTTTTCCCCCCTCAAGTAAATGTTATAAATAGTGCTGTGTGTTCTGTTCGCCGGCCGTCCTCCTCCTCTCTCAGCTCTGCCCACCTCCGCTCACCTTTTCGCCGCTTCTCACAACACAAACACACTTCGGTGCGGCTTCTCCTTCTCCACCAGTCCTCTCTGGATTTTCCTGCTCCGAGTCGACCGGACACATTCTGCTCAGGATGCGTTGTGTGAGCTGGCTGCTGCTGGGAACCTGCCTGCTGGTGCTGGGCCCGGCGGTGCAGGGAGCCCCGAGTCAGTGTCCGACCCTGTGCCACTGCCACGGCGACCTGCAGCACGTCATCTGCGACAGCGTGGGGCTGAAGAAGATCCCCCGGGTGTCGGAGGCCACCCGCCTGCTGAACCTGCAAAGGAACAACCTGGGCAGCATCCCGACGGGGGCCTTCAGCGAGAGCAAGGGGCTCATCTCCCTGCACATGCAGCACTGCCAGCTCCGGGAGATCGGGTCGCAGGCCTTCAAGGGGCTCAAGAAGCTCATCTACCTCTACCTGTCCAACAACGAGATCAGCAGCATCAAGCCGGGCGCCTTCGAGGACCTCACCGAGCTCACCTACCTCTACCTGGACGGGAACCAGATCAGTGACCTGGCCAAGGGCATCTTCTCCCCGATGATCAACCTCTTCATCCTGCAGCTCAACGACAACAAGCTGCGGGAGCTTCGGACGGGGACGTTCGCCGGCGCCAAAGACCTGCGCTGGCTGCACATGAGCGGGAACGAGCTGTCGACGCTGCAGCCGGGCTCTCTGGACGATGTGGAGAACCTCGCCATCCTCCACCTGGACAGGAACAAGATGTCCATCTATCCCAGCGCCGCCATGAGCAAGCTGCGGGTGGTGGAGGAGCTGACGCTGGGCAAGAACCCCATGAGGAACATCCCAGACAACGCCTTCCAGAGCTTCGGCCGCTACATGGAGAAGCTACACCTGGACGGCATGGGTCTGGAGAAGGTCAGTCCGAGGGTTTAGGGGGGATTCTGATGTTTAGCAAACAGATGAAAGATGCTGCAGCTAAAAAAAGTGGAGTTTTGGCTTCAATTGTTGTGTTTTTTAGGTTATAAAATGTGAGATCGCTTGGAGAAGACTTTAAATTCAAGTTATTCAAGGTTTTAAACCTCAAGTAAGTTTGGAAAAGTTGGTGTAGAAGCAGGAAGAGTTGTGAAATTTGTCAAGTTTCTGATGGTTCTTGAACTAAATAGAAAAAAAGGAAAAAGATAAGACAGAACTTTATAAATCCCAAAGTATATTCTTACATCCTATATGACTCAAAAAACAAACACGAAAATAAACCAAAAGTAGTAATTAAATGTATAAGAAGTTGAAGCTAACAGCTTATCAAACTAGAATAGAAGAATAAGAGGTCACACTGGCAGTAATGCTGTAAAAAAAAAGGAATATTCTGTATGAAACTGAAATTGCACAAAATATTGAGAAATTCTAGATTATTGTTCAGTGAAAATGTATCAAATTTAAGTTTAAAATTAAGATATTTTATTGAAATCCTGTTATTTCCAATGTCTTCTGTAGAATGTTGCCAAAAATAAACCCTTTGCATTAACAAAATTCTGCAAAAAAAACTACATTTCTAAACTTCTCGGTGCAACCAGGAAACCTTAAATGATTCTGCTGCAAACAACAACCACGGGAGAAAAATTCAGGGACTTTTTGGCTCAACTGCAGGTCGTGTGTACTCAGAGCAGACAAGAGACAAGCATTAAAAACTAATTAAAAATCTAATGAAGTCACATATCTCCAGTATGTGGAGCCCCATTTTTTTTCCAGTCTTACAAATGTTGCACATGCTGATTCCAGATTTTAGCAGTTTTTGTAAAATAAATAATCAAAATATTTCAGCTTTCGTCTTCTGTTGTTGATGATTTACGGCATTCTAACTGTGTTACACTGCACAGAAGGCATTTAAGAGTTCTTTCTCCTTCTGGTCACGGTTGTGTTGTTTCCATAGAGGTGCAGGACTTCATACTGCAGTAAAAAAAATGAGCCTACAGTGAGTAAAAATGAGCAAAAAAAACCACCCAGAAACTGCCTGGAGCTCAGAGGGTTAAAGCAGAGAACATGACAAACAGCTATAAAGCAGCTATAAAATGCCGTGTTTGTAGATGTTTCCTATATTCAGAGTTATGTCATAACGAGGTCTTTGTGCGTCCGTCTGAATATGTGCATGTGTTGGTTTGCTGGTGGTCGACGCACAACTCGCCACAAACCAACACACATTTCTCACACAGTACACATCTGGACACTTGTGTTTCCACAGTAGCTCGTCCACATGAATTATCTATAACCTGCATCCTGCTCATGCAAACCTGCTGCTGCATTTTTTTCATCTTTTAAATGCAGATGCGTGCACCTTTCTCGGACCACAGAGTAGAGCTGCAACTACTAATCGATTAGTTATCCGTTATTAAGTTAATCTGCAAGTATTTCGATAATCTATTAATCAATTGGAGTAATTATAAAGGAAATAAAATAATATAAACAAATTAATATAATATATAAATATCACAAATATCCTGTTTTCAGCTTCTCATATTAGAGGTTTTGCATTAATTAAATATATATAAAATGCAATTTTAAAAGACTTGTGGCCATTTATGAGGCAAACTGTTAACAATCAATATTTTAAAATAATATTCAGTTGCACTCATAGATTTTCTATTTAGCTAATCTACTGAGATAAACGCAGGTTTATTTCATTTATTTATTTGGATCCCCGTTAGAAAACAAAGTAAAAGCTAAGTAGAGCTGCAACAACGACGCATTCGTGATTTAATACATAAAGCTAAAACATCACTCACTCAAGTTTCTTTTTTAAAAAAAATAATTTTCTACCTAAATTAAATGTGGGAAAAGCAAATATTTAAGCATATACAATATCTAATATATATTTCTGGTAAATCAAGTTAAAGGAAATGCAAGAACATGCCCATAAATCCAAGATTTGAGCTTTAATTTTATATGGATTTTTAAGTTTCTGCTCCCGAAAGTTGTATAAGCTTTAAGTAAAACAAAAACAAAAAAACAATGCTTGAGACTGGTGTCTTACTTTTCCTAGTAACTGTCAATAATATGTGGCAATATCAAACTACAAGCATTATTAAGCACAAATAAACAAGTTTCATCCATAAAACTTGATTTTTGTATCTCAGCTTTGACAGAGAATCTTATTTCTACACTCTGGAGTCTGTCGTGCTTTTGCAAATGTTGAATTTTAACAAAAAAAAATAGTGTCAGCAGGTCGAAGTGAAGCAGAATGAAGAATAAGTTGCAGCCAAACGTAGCGTCTCCATCTGAGGATGTAGAATTTCAGGAGGTTAAACATTGAACTAATGATTAAGGGTATGAGAAAGAAAAACATGGTGACTTTTCTCTCATTGTTGCTTTTTACTGGATCAATTCAGCATGTCAGGCTCGAGAAAGGATTCAAACGATTTCAGAACTCGAATGTACACTGCGTTCAAGGCGGCAGCAGCCCTGTTAGTTGACTTGTCTAACTATGTAGCAGAGCGGTGAGAACAAGAACGATGCAGAGTTATCTGGCATAAAAACACATTCTCTAAGTATTAGATATATACATACATATATAAGTATTATCTGTTGTGCATTGTTTTCTGGCATCTGGAATCCAAACCTTTCAGCTTTTCTGTCTCTGTTGCAGTGCAGCAGTGGAAACTCTGTGTGGACAGTTTGTGGAGGTTTGTGCGCTTGCTGTGAACTAATCAGCATCAAAGCCTGCGCAGCAAAACTTCAGGGTCTAGTCTGGAGTAAGCACTTGAAAAGACGTTCCTTAGGGGCATTATTTGCGGTTGGAACACATACAAAGGTTCATGTCGGCCTGAAACTGTCTGCGAGTTCCTGCAGTGGAAAACAACTTAACCCTTTGAACACCAAAACCCGCCAGAAGGTTTGAAAGACACGTCCGTCTGAAAAAAATTACACCATTTGTCAGCACCAGAAACTGTAAAACTGAAAAAGTCATCAATTAATCATATGTACCGTGTGGTTCTGTCAGTAAAGTTAATCAAATCTGAGCTTAAACTTGTGATATTAAATTTCAAATCCCATAATTCTGCTTGCTGCATTCAAAAATTCTCCAAAAATAGAAGTCATTTGTACCAGAACCTGTGAAAAACAAAACATTTTGCGCTCCTCGGTGCAGCTGAGAAGCCAAGATTGACTCAGTTGCGTGACAAAAAACTTTCAGGTGAACTGCAGGCAGTGTTCTGTCGACCTCATGGTTGTGCTGTTTCTATAGGGTTTCATATTGCAGTGAAAAACGGAAAAAGAAGCCAAACACACCCAGAAACTGCAGAAGATCAATTTGTGATTTCGTAAATTGGGTGACTTTAACCCTTCAGCCTCCACCGGTGGAGCCTGAACACATGGGTGAGGGTTCAGTACGAGCTCTTTGCTACTTTCCGAGTGCACATTTGCTCCATGCTTGAGGTTAATCCAATATTTGAGTGTACCTGCGCCAAAGTATGAAGGCATCCCAGAGGGGAAAACTGTAAAATAACAAGCTTCTCACGCCGAGGCCGAGCGAGAGCCAGGTGGAAGCAGCGGGAGGCGGCTGCAGCGGCGCACACACAAGGCCGGGCAGATTGAGCCATTTTCTAGCCAAACGCGGGTATTTTTAGGGTGTTTTTGTTTGCTGGACCTCGGCCAAGCATGTCTGAGTCTAATTATTACACAAGTGTTATTTTCAGCAAGGTGTGTTTTCTGCTTTGGCTGCGAGGGTCCTGTAAACAGGTCAGGAGGGGTTAGGAGACAGGTAAACAGAGGCAGGGTGTTCCACGCTGCATGAAGAGGAGTATTTTTAGCTTTGCTTGAATGGACAATCGGGCCCTTTGCGAGCCTTCCTGGCAGAGGAGCGGCCCGAAGAGGGAGACGACAGAAAGAGCGAAAACACCTCGGCCACGCTGGAAGTCGTCCATCTTCCATTGCTTCAGAAGCACCAGGCCCTCGGCTGGAAATTTCCAAGCAGCCTCGTGTCCTCCAGACTCGCATAAAACGTCCCTTTAAAGCTTCCTTCTTCCTGCAGGAGACAAAACCTGACACAGGTCGGTTCATGTCGCACCTCTCTGAAGCTTTTAGCGCCCTCACAGATGCATATGAAGCAGAGGGGAAAAGAAGGAGGCCAGTGACTGCCGGTGTTTACACAAGTGCAGGAGGAAGGATGAGAGGAGGCTTTCATGCCACGCAAACACTGGCGAGATTCCCTCGTTCTGCATCTGTCTGCCTCCCGACACACACGAGGATTCATGGGTGCTGGAGGCGTGCCGGGCTGTTAACGGCAACGCATGCAGGAAAAGTTTGGAGGCGACGTGTAATGATTGACGAATGCTCTTCTTCTAGTTCTCTGATGGAGCGTTTACCGGCGTGACGGCGGTGAAGTCGCTCCACCTGGACAACAACAAGCTAAAGTCGCTCCCCAGAAGCCTGGAGTTCGGCACCGTCGCCAACCTCACCATCTCCAACAACCCGTGGAGCTGCACGTGTCAGCTCGCTCCGCTGCGCAGGTAAGAAACTCACCTGGAACACTCACCAACAGACTGAAACGGCACCCAATTTTTTTGTTTTTGGGCGTTTTTTTATAGTGAGAGCAAGCAGCAACGTGCAGTTCCTCTAATGTCCACTAGAGGCTCCAAAATAGTATCAATCCCCATTGACCCCCATGTTAAAATGACCACCTTCACACCAGAAATAAACACGTCTACAGCCTCGTACAAAAACAATTCTGGTCTCTATTGCTAATTTACTCATAAATGACAACTGTACAAGGTGCAAATATTTATATTAGTTGCTCATTTGAATTGTATTAAGGCTTAAAGTTATCCATAATTGAGGACATGGCTGCTTTGAGTGACAGGTCGAACCATCATAGGAAAGTCCTGCCTTAGCTACATATACGCTCCATATTTTTACCTGGTTTTGGATTGGCTGGAAGTTATGAGGAGTCAAACCTCTCTTCAGGAAACCTATAGGTGACGTCACAAATGGTTCATCCATCTTTATATACAGGCAATGATGATTTCTGCGAGTTGAAGTGATGGACAGAATGTGAGAATCTTTAGCTTTCTTTTACATTCAAGAGTTTCGGATGCTACTGACTCATTCGATGGTGAGCAAGAACCTTTTAAGAAGCCACAGCTTGGAGGTTCGTCCATCTTCATAAGCAGAGATTGGGGCATTAGCACCCACGTGGAATGTGAAGTTAAAAGTCGACTATTAGATTGTTTGATCACTTTAGTTTCAAAGAAAACTGAGTGAATCAGAGGGTTTCAGCAGTGGAGGGCTCTTTAAAAGCCCATAAAAGACCTGAAAGTCACCAAAACGATCCAAATCAGTTAATTTAATGGCACTAAAGAGGAATTCAGAGGCTGCAGCTAAACAGGACGCATGAATAGCGATGCGTTCACTTACCGACAGAAACTGAAGCGGGGATACGAGTGCTTAAAACTAGAATGAACTATGCAGCAGGTGACAGTAAATCTTTGAACTGAGCTGACTGAACATTGTCTACGTATTTATTCAAAGCAGGTTTGTAGATTTTAAGAGAAACTCTATTTGGTGTGTACTCTGGGCTTTGTATGTTTGCAGACCCGGTACATGCAAATAAAAAAGCAGCAACATAAAGGAAAAAAAACTAAAAGCGTGACATGGGCTTTTAAACAAGCAGCACAAAGGCTCCTTTCTGCTCCTTATCTGTTGCTTTCCTCCTGCAGGTGGATGGACTCCAGCCGTAACCGCCCAGATGCAGTTTGTGCATCTCCACCGTCGCAGAAAGGAAAGCAAGTGAGAGACAGTCCTGCCTTCAGCGGCTGCAGAGTGAAGGCGAAGAGAGCCAAGAAGGGAACACGTCACTGAGCCTGCAGCCGCACAGGTGACAAAAACACAACATGCTACACTCATGTTAACGATACAGATGAAGCCACGGACAGGAGATGATTAACTTAGCTTAGCATAACAACTGCAGCCTTTCCAACGGTATTAAACTTTGAATAGCAGCACTTCTACAGCTCACTGATCTTCCATCCATCCATCATCTATACACCGCGTAATCCTCACTAGGGGGGCTGGAGTCTATCCCAGCTGACTCAGGATGAAGGCAGGAGACACCCTGGACAGGTCGCCAGTCTATCACAGGGCTACACTTCGAGATACATACTCACATTCACACCTACGGACAATTTAGAATCACCAATTAACCTCAACATGTTTTTGGACTGTGTGGGAGGAAGCCGGAGAACCCAGAGAGAACCCACGCTGCACGGGGAGAACATGCAAACTCCTAACAGAAAGATTCCGGTGCCCCCACCGGGACGCGAACCGGCAACCTTCTTGCTGCGAGGCAGGAGCGCTAACCAACTGTTCCACCTTGCAGCCCGCTCACTGATCAACCTCTCTATATTTTGTCTGAGCAAAAATCTAAATTAAAAATTTTGCAGATGTTATTGAATCACCTGGGAGGCTCTGGGGCAAAAAAATGTTGTTGAGCCCCAACACAGAGGAACTTAACAGAGTAATAAACCTGAACTAATCAGTCATTTCAATCATTTTTAAGTTAGATTCTTAAATGTACTAATTTGGGCTTCAGGGAACATTACTGAGCCTTCACCAGGAACATTACATTCCTTCATCTGTTATTAAAGAAATACAAACTTTCTCCAGGTTTTCTTGTGTGCTAATTACTTAACAAGGCAGCCAGAGACAATATACATAAAAGTATATCTATACAATATGTGGCACAACTGTGGAAACACATTTACGTGCATATATCGATATTATTTCTGTAATCAATCACATGATCAGAACGGAGCATCTTTTATGTTCTCCTGGTTTCAAGCTAGATTTTAGTTGCACAAAAATTAAATAGTGCACAATATATGTCTGTTTTCACTGCAGACTTAAATCCATGTGCACCAAAACAGTTACTGGACGGGACTCCGGTGCTATGATTACACAGGAAATCGAACAATGGAGTTTTGTTTTGTTAGTTTATGTGCTGAATTTTACGCTGAAGATGGCGATGCTAGAGAGGAAGACTGCTGCTCGACGATAACATCGACAGGGCGGAAAAATGGTGCTCTATGCCCTTTCTGAGTCTAATCAAACAGCATCTGTCGCCTCTTTTTTCAGGATCTACCCTGGAGGAAGTACTTTTTAAACCCAAAAACGGCCATAATGGAAGTTGTCGGTGGACGGTTCTTGCGGTCGGAACATGCACAAAGATTTGGGTCGCCCTAAAATGACCCACAAGTTCCTGTTGTGGAAAACGGCTTAATTACAGCGCAGGAGAGAAAGAAGAGGCTCATTTAAAGATTATTTAAATAGATTTCATTGAAAAAAAAAAGACATTATTACAAATTAAAACAGCTAGAAAGAGCTAACCAGCTGCTCACATTCATATTTAAGGTGCACACATGAGAGGTGTCGATCTTTAAATTTATCTCTTCCAAAAATGTGTCTGTCACTCAATATGACACTAACACATCTGTAGCAACTCAAAACCTTTGAAAACCTGTATTTTTTATGCATATTTTTTAAGTTTTCACTCCTGATGCTCACTCTGCATATAAAAAAACCCCTGACCTCTGCATAAAGTTAAGTGGTAGTCCAGTTAAATGTCCCGGTGACGCCCTCACAGATCACTACTTTAACAAATACCTGAGGTGCAGGTTTATCCCAAATCACACCCCTCCTGTGGGATTTATGGGGGTTTTCGGCTGCGTCTCTGTCCGACGCGACTCCCACGCGAGGCTTTAGTTGGTTTTGGAGTCGCCGTGCACAATGTTGTTTTTCATTTCTCTCTTCCTGACCGCAGGACTGCGTGTCCTCCCCTCTGTCCCCGCCTGAACTTTTCCATGTTGGTCCGGCACACCGAGTCACCGGGTCTCACTCTGTTTGACCTGGCAGCTCATTCAGAGTTTTTTTTTTTTTCTACCTACAGGAGACGCCGAGGAGGAGGAGCCCGTCCAGGCGACCGGCTGCAATGCTAACTGATTCTACTTTCAGACTGTCTGACTATTGTCACACTCGCTCTCTGTCTGTGTCTCTCAAACGAACGTGGACCGGTTTTATTCTCATTCATTCGTATCCAAGGTGAAGACTAAAGTATGTGTAAGAGGATGCAGGTAGAAACCAGAATAAGGATGCATTTGTGGAGATGAGGGCTGAAGAAAGCATTGAAAGGGAGGCGGACAAACAGTAAACAAGTAGTAAACAAGGTTCAGGTTCTTGATGAGCATGAAAATTTCTTAACAAGAGTTAGTTGGGAAAATTGATACTTAGCTTAGCATGCTTAGCATAAAGACTGGAAACAGCTTCTTCTGCTTACCAGAACCTCTACAGCTCATTATTTAACACTTTATATCTTTGTTTGGTATTAATCAGTGTCTCTGCGATCAGTATTCTCAGGTAGCTCTCGGTAAGAACGCGATTAAACCTATTCCCCAAAACTATGTCTTTAATTTATAGATTTTTTTTGGTTATTTGGGGAGCAGCAGAACAAACTGAAAGGCCTTGTCCACACTAATACGGATATTTTGTAAAGTTTTCTTCTACAGTTGGTTCTTTAATTCACACATTAATTTTTTTTTTAAAGGTCACTCAAACAGATATTTGTATATTAAAGCCTTTTCTAAAAATGATAATCTGTCAGCAAGGGTGTCAGAAAATATCTTCTAAAAACTGTGGAATACAGTAATGTTCATAAACTCTAAAACACTGACAATAAAGGCAAACATCTGTAAAATGTAGATTTTTTTTTTGCTGATTGAAACACAGTAAAAACCAATTTTACAGTCACACACTGTAAAATAAGTAGTGTTTGCAAAAAATCTGATTTTTGATGTGGACATTATTTACAGTCGGCCTGTGTTCTTTTTAGTTTTTGTTTGTTTTTTTTAATCGTAAAATGTAGGTGCTTCCTTTATTTTGAAAACTCAAAACTTTTGTCTTACCAAGAAGTATTAAACAGTAAAAACACTGTAAAAGAAAAACATCCTGCATTTGAAGTTTTTTTACTCATAACTCAAGAATGAAAGAGAAAAAAACTTAAAATTTATTCATTTATTTTGTTTTTCTCTTAAAAAAACAAAAGGATTAAAACTAAGTACTGGATCAATAAGCAGTATTGTAAGAGTAGCGGTAAAATATTTCTATCCATCCCTCATGTGTACTCATTTCATCTATTATTGATATAATAAGTACTACAAGGTGCTGCTTTCATTTTTCAGAAACGTATCGGTGCTTTATTGTTTTGATGGTTAACTCGATAAACAACTGGCTCCAAATAACATAAATCAAACTATGAGGAGTTATTAAACTGGCTATAGCTGTTGCATCATCACTGATGGAGAAACCTTCATGTAAAGGGAGACTTTGAGATGTGCGTAAGCTTACGAGGTGCTTTTCCTTCCTAAAGAGCTACAAAACTGGAGTTCCTTTATTTTTGTCGCTGCTGAGAATGTAACAGGGAGGAGACGGACGCAGGTTCAGTAATGCAAATTCTTTGTTAACGTTTTATTTTACAGCAACTATCTCTTGTATATTCAGCATCTCGACACGTGCAGGACTTTTGGACGTGGTGACCAGAGCTCACGTCCAATAAACCTTTTACAAAACCAACCTTCGTTTCTGTCTGATTCTTCACAAGACGCCAAACGTCTGCATAACAGTGACTCCAGCAGGACTCGTGAATGTAAAGATTGTTTATCTGAGGTTTTGTCTCCCCCTGGTGTTTGAACGGCGAACTGCACCACCGAATCTTCAACGGAGATGCAATCAATATTTGTAATTAAAAAGAAAAAGCAGCCTGGAAATTACTTGCAATTTTTTAAAAAAGAAAAGCACAAAATTTGTTCTTTTTTTTTCCAGCTAAAATGTAAAATATAAGGATTTCCTCTATATTTGTACACAGAAAGCAAACATTTGAAATTGCATTAATAATATCTGTGCTGGTTCCTGGTTTTCTCTCCATCCTTTTAATTTCTCATCTGGAGCCTGTTTGTCCAGACTGTTTTTAACAAATCATTTTAAAAGCTGAGCTGGTGAGCAAATGTTGCATCCTTCATAGGCAATCATGCAAAAAAACAAAAAATAGTTTTAAAGGAAAATTATTAAATTTACGAGTTCATTTGACTTATTTAGAGACGAAGTTGATGCACTTTTTTTTTAGAGAAGTTTGTCTAAACAGTAGAAGAATGTATCTCTATAGATTTGTGCACTGAAAGATATTAAAAATGTTGAAACAACACTTAAACAACAGGGTTAACGGAAATGTCAGTTCATTTAGCCCAAAGCAGCTGTTCTCCAACACCTCTGCACCTTCATCACTCTCCTCATCATCATCGCCCTGCTTAAACAAATCCTTGATATCTTTGCACACTTTGTTGCACCTGTCAGCAAATTTGTTCCCTTTTCTGCATCGATGGTCATTGATTTTTTTTCCGTTTTATTCATGTTTTAGCGATAAATGCTGATGTGTTTGGCGAGTGTTTGATCAAAACCTCTAGAGGCAGTTTTTAAGTCTGTAGCCTTTCAGCCACTGTGATTATCTGGGTGCTCAAGTGGTGTTTTACTCCCATCTCCCTGTGTTCTCTCCGTTATTGATATTTATCCATGGAGATGAGAGAATACAAACCTTTTCATACAGCTTTTCCCTCAACTAACTTTACTTGTCTTGCTCAACGTTGTCTGCCTCTCAGGTGAAAAGCTCACTACTGCCCCTAGAGGCCTGTGGCACTTCCACTGTGTGACTGGATGTGCAGCGTTTTCTTTTTGCATTTGTTTTCATTTATGCAGCGCATCTGTGTAGCTCGTTTGTGTACATGCTGCTGTGATGGCAGCTGCTGCATCACTGAACATCTGCATATGAGCTCCAGCGCCACGCCTGTTGGAATTATTTGGCAAAAGCGGACTCACTGTGATCCCCTTGACGCCCATCTCGGTTATGACCTTCCTCACCAGCTCTTGGGGACATGGAGAACCAGCCATGAAGCCTAACGGACAGAAATAAAAACACTGTCAGTTCGAGGAAGTAAATCAGTTCATGGCAATATCCTCAGACAAAACTAAATAAAGTGCGTTAAATCGTTAAAACGGTCTCTTCTGATGCAGTTTCTCACCTGATAACAAAGACGACAAGTCGAATTTCTTGAAGTCCGGCTGGCTGAGCATGTCGACAAACATGGTGGGGGTGCCGTAGAGGTTGGTGCACCTGACAGCGGGAAAACAGAAAAAAAAAAACCTATCGTTACTGACGGCATTACAATAAATCTGCATGATGAGTTCGTTTCTCAGTCAAAGCAAAGCAGTCTTTTATTATATTATATTTAATTACTTGAACACTTATTATTGCTATTCTAGTTATTATAGTTGCTATTACTATTGTTGTTATTGACAAAACACAGTCACTGAGTACATTAAAATAAATCTGCAAAGTTTGTTTGTTTTTTTTCTTTAGTTAAGGGGGAAAAAAATTATATTAAAAAAAAAAATCTAAATTCAGGACAGCACTTTATAGACTGCTGCACGAACAAGTGTCCAAAATATTAGCTCGAAGTATGAAATGGACATACATAAATATATCTCTAACACAGAAATCAGCCACCTAGAACAGAAAATTTTACATTTTACAACACTTATATGATTTAGCTCCTCGTCTGTTGAAATAAATCAAAGTTCTCTACAAGGCATTTTGCTCCTGAGCTTCCAAAACTCACGTTTGATCTAAGATATTAAAATTCAGGAATAAAAGCAAGCTGACAAAACACTAAATGTATATAAAAGAGCAAAAATACAATAATCACAATGCAAAGGAGGAAAAACAAGCACAACAACTAAGTCAAATATATGAAAGAACAAAGCGAGATACACACAAACATGAGAAATAACCAGAATAAAACCTATGTAGAGAATAAAAGAAGCTTGAATGTCTTTAAAAATGATCTTCCTCATGATAGGAATTCTGTGCTCAAGCATAATAGACATTTTGGTTGAGAAAATTATTACAAATCATGAAAATGAGTTCAGATTTTTGTGAAATGAGGTCAAACTGTCATGTGAAGCTGCCCACAAAGAGCCACTGTGAGCAGGAAAACCCTGATTAGTTCAGCTGGAAAGTGTTCCCACATGGAGACCTCTGATGCAAAATGTCTCGAGTGTTCAAAACGATTCCTGATAAAATCTGGTTTTGCTGAAAGCTGCAAGAAGTTGGTTGACCTGAAGTTCGCTGTTTTGTGCGACTTCTTGTTTTCCTGAATCTCTACATTTAATGTGGAGAGTAAAAGTTACTGTGAGCCAAACAGACACAACTGACACATTAATGCGACATAAAGTCAAAATAAACTGAAATTAACCTTTAATTAAAGTATATTTACTGTTTGTTTATAAAAACAAAGTAGCTTAAAAACTGAGCAAAATAAATCGTGTTTTCATTATAAAGTCAATCTTCTTCTTCTTCCTAGTAGTTTGTGTAGCAGTAATACGTAGGAGTATTAGTATTATAATACTAGTAGTTTTAGTAGCAGCATAAGTAGTAATAGTATTATGTATTAGTAGTAGAAGTCTTAGTACTGGTGGTATTGATAATACTAGTAGTTTTAGTAGTAGCATAAGTAGTAATAGTGTTATGTATTTGTCGTAAAAGTCTTAGTACTGGTGGTATTGATAATACTAGTAGTTTTAGCATAAGTAGTAATAGTATTATTATTAGCAGCATTACCAGCAGGTGTAGATGTAGCAGTACTAGTAATATACATATTTGTAATAGTAGTATTAGTATTAGTATTAGTAGTATGATTGTAGAATTAGCGGCAGCAGTAGTATTGTAGTAGTAGTACTACTCGTATTAGTAGTAAATGGAATAGTACTGGTAATACTAATTTACCAGAGTAAGTAGTAATCATAATTGTATTGGTACAAGCAGTATTGTTACTATGTATTAGTAGTAGAAGTATTAGTACTGGTGGTGCTAATAATACTAGTGGTATTAGTAGTAGCATAAGTAGGAATAGTATTATTAATAGCAGTATTAGCAGTAGGTGTAGATGTAGCAGTACTGGAAATATACGTATTAGTAATATATGTATTAGTGTTTGTACTAGTAATAGAAGTCTTAGTAGTAGTAGTAGTATGATTGTTGTGCTACAGCTAGCAGTAGTATTGTAGTATTAGTACTACTAGTAGTAGTGCTGGTTTTAGTAATATTCTAGCATAATTAGTAATACTATTTGTGTAGCAGTATTAGCCCCATGTATTAGTCGTAGAAGTATTCGTACTGGTGGTACTAATAACACTAGTGGTATTAGTAGTAGAAGTCTTAGTAGCAGTAGTAGTAGTAGTAGTATGACTGTAGTATTAGCAGTAGAAGTCTTAGTCGCAGTAGTAGTAGTATGACTGTAGTATTAGTAGTAGAAGCCTTAGCAGTAGTAGTAGTAGTAGTATGACTGCAGTATTAGTAGTAGAAGTATTAGTAGTACTAGTGGTGCGTCTGTTGAGCAGAGCAGAGTAAAGCTGATCAGATGTTTGTTGGAGCTGAACAGCTGACGTCTGAATATCAGCTCTGATGGACTCATGAAGCTAATTATTTAAAATCAACTAATTAAATAAAGCTGAAACAAACAGACGTACTTTACAAAGATTACTTTCATTATGTATTCTACTTTGTTTTGCTGTCTCATAATCAGATCGTACAGTTTCTTTATCTCAAACCTGTAACAGGTCAAACTGGAAACAGACGCTGTTCTACTTCACACATGTTCACCTTTGGCCTACATCAGGCTCAGTGGAGGCGCCTTTACATTATGTAACCCTGCTTTAAAAATACTACAAGCTTCTGCAGGAAACCTTCACCGCTGACAAGCAGATGCTGAAACTTTTTGTCCTCCAGCAACAAAAAAAAGCTGACATCTGATCCGATTCAGGAAACCAGGATGTGGGACTAATGTTCTTTCCGTGAAACAACGTTTGAACTGCCGACCTCGACCGGGAAACAAGAACGAGCAGCTTTCTTGCTAACTTCGTCATGTTCTTTAGGACATGATCTGTCACGTATGGTGCAATTTGACTTCCATCCAAATGCAGTACATGTGCAGATTACTTCATGTGTGTCTTGTGCTTTTCTACAGCTCTTCCAACCTCTCAACCAAGGAAACGTGAGATGTGTGAAAACCGGTTTGCACAGCTTCCACCTCCCTGCAAACACCACCTCGAAACTGAACTTGAATCCAGAGCAAGAACTTGGAAGGTCCAATTATTAGTGATTACAGACGAAGCTTGTTTCTTTTGTTGTTGCAGGGTTTTGAAGTACATTTACACGCACGAGAGGTTACCTTTCGCTCTCCACGGCTGCCAGGTTGGCCCGTCCGTCGTAGCCGGTGGAGGGGAAGATCAGGGTGATGCCGTGCACGGCCATGCACATCCCGGCGCCCACCGAGCCGAAGCAGTGGTACAGAGGCACCGGCACACAGAGGCGAGCGTCGGGCTGGAGGGGGGCAAAGACAGGACAGGAAGTGATGACGTTGCACAAAGCTCCTCTGCTCTACATGTCCCCCTTTCAAACCTGTGCTCCTTTAAGTTCATCTGAATGTATCTGCTTCACGCCTGAATCTATCTTTACCATTAAAGTCATGACGGCAAACTAAGGCTGGACACATCTTCTCCAACATGGCAGATCGGCATGCACAAGAGACGCAGTGACTCGGAGAAGACGTTTTCCACCGATATTGGTCCACAGAGAGCAAACGCCTTCTCTCATTTGCTTTGCTTTACACATTTTCTAATCTATTCCAAACAGAAATGTCCATTAAAATAAAGCTTTACTACGATAATTGAAAACTGTAGTTAACAGGACCTGAGGTTTAGTTTGTAGGAGTCTTTCCTCTGAGTTTATTGAATGTCAGCTGGATCCATTTCTTCTGGGTTAAAGGTTATCAAAGGCACTGTCTCTTTAACAAGGTGTTTGAAGAACCTGCTGCTCACTGGATAGTTTTTGTTCTTCACCATTCTGACAGAACTGAAGCTGCTCATGTGTGTCTGCAGGAGTTCATGCTGCCACATGACGGACCCATAACAGGTGTTCCTCCATGCTTTTTGGGTGGGAACTATTTTCTGCTGCGAAATAACATACAATCGGTGCACTAGTGAGAATGTGGAGAGCAATGGAGCTCTGTGGCACAAAGGAATACGACATTTGATAAGTCAGAATGTTTAAGTAGGACCAATACATTGTTGGCTTTGGTCTATTTTATTATTTTCAAATCAATTCAAATATAGAGTATCTCCAGATTTTTTGATTTAATTGAGGCATTTTATACCATCACAGTTGTACAATTTAATCCATTTCCAAAGTGAATCACATTCCACAGTCAAAAGAAATGAAGCAAACAGTAAAACTACATAATAATAATAATTATTATTAATAATAATACTCATATAGCACTTTTCACAAAGTAGGTAAAAACCCAACAAGACAAACAAGCAAAAAACAAATAAATAAAATAACAATAATAAAATAAAATCCACTCTTTGTTTAGAAAAACGTCGATGAAACACTAAAAGTCTGTTCACACTCACCTTCCAGGTGTATCCCACTCTTTTCCCGACAAAGTAGGCGTTGTTGACGATGTTGTGATGCGTCAAGGTGGCACCTTTAGGAGCCCCAGTTGTGCCCTGATGACAGATAGATTATCAAATGAGTATTAGTTAAAAAACCTTACAACGGTATGATACAGCAGGTCCCAGTGACTCTGACCGGCTGCTTCTATCGCTCCGTAAACGTTGGAAATGTTAGTATGTAAAATGAGGTATTTTCAAACTTCTTTATACATTTCCAATTCAATTCCACTTTTTAGTTTTTTGTTTATTTTCATTTTAGTTTTTAAACCTCTGTTTTTAATCTGTACAGCACAATGGGCTGGATCTGTAACAAAGTTATCGTTACCTTTTAGCACTTACTGCCTACTGATTTGCATCGTTTTATTTTTAGCTATAAGTTCTTTATTCTAGATGTTGCTGTGATGCACTAAAACAGCAAGTCAGATTCCCTGTAAGTTAAAAACCCACTTGGCGATAAAACCTGATTCTGAATACTTACAATCAGCGACTAATTAATTTGCAGAATACATTCGTAATATTTTTCTACTTTATTATGTACAATACGTCAATTTGGTTTTTTTAAAACCCAAAACTCACTTGTTCAGATGGTTTGTTTTGTCCTACTTCCAGTTAAAACTCAATATTCAGTTTACAAAAGTGTAAAACTTAGACAATCATCACAATAAAGAGTGTTTCTTTGAAAACGTATGACTGTACGAGTTGTGTCAGAAAAGCGTCAGGACTGGTGTCACAAAAGATATCGCTCAAATCCAAACTACAAGTTTTCTCCTTCGAAGTAATCCCCCTGGAATCTAACCCTCTTCCCCAGCTTTCTCTGCCTTCACGCCGCCATGCACTCCTGGAAGGATTCTTCTGTCGTCACAGCCATCTTGATGTCGTCCACTTCTTCAAAACGGGTCCCCTTGATGACCCCCTTGAGCTTGAGGAAGAGGAAATAATCCCATGGAGCCAGGTGGGGTGAGTAGGGAGGTTGCTCCAGCATGCCGATGTGCATTGTGAGCGTTGTCATGGTGAAGCAGTCACGACTTGTCCTGCCACAACTCTCGCCTCTTCTCACGCTCTGAACGAAGCAAACGCCGCAGGATCTCTTTGTAGACGTGCTGGTTGATCATCTGAAGGGGAAAACTCGTAGTTTGGGTTTGAAAGATATCTTATGTGACACCAGGCCTGAAACTTTTCTGACACACCTCGTATGTCCTCTAGAAGTGTGAGTTTTGATTGAACATGATTGTTTTACTGAATAAAAACCTGGTTAGGTTGAAGGGTAAAATATCAGATAACAGGGAAAAAAACAAAGCTCACACACTGACTACAATGAAAGAACCTCTTCAGCTGCAAAGTCAGTTTATCACAAGTCCAAGAAGCGACAAAATGTGAAGAATATAAAAGAAAAGTAAATGTTTGCAGCCATCTTTCTCAGGGTTAAAACACTGCCTATTGCAGATGTTTTCAGGCCATCCAGTCGTGCGTCAGTTACCGATGTGAACTGGATGTTAATCGGGTCGTCGAACTGCAGCGTCTTCTGCAGATCCTGCAGCTGCTGCACGTACTGGCTGCTGCCGGCCTGCATCACGTCGTCCAAGTGAAACATTCCTGGTTGTCGGCTGTCCAGAACAATGACGGAGCGAAGGTCAGGCAGTCTGAGGGGGAAACACACAAAAATGTGGGTCAGTCGTTGTAACCGGAGAGCTCTGAGTTACATAAAGCAGCTCTATAGAAGATGCATGTTTCTGTTTAACCCAAGTACAGCGGAACTAAATGAAGGTCAGTGAGTTCAAACCCTCCAACATGCACAGACATCTGCTAGCTTGTTAGCAGCTGGTTAACAAGAATTGTGAATGAATTTTGCTGTGACACTTTCAAATGTGCAAGGATATAGTTTGGTGTTTTTACTACCACTGCTTGCTTCTGAGTGCTCTCTTTTCCAGCTTGCACATGCAGAGTTTTAAGGTATTCATGCATATACACATGTGGACAAAATCATTGGTACCCCCCGATTAATGAAAGAAAAACCCACAACAGTCACAGAAATAACTTGAATCTGACAAAAGTAATAATAAATAAAAATTCTATGAAAAGTAAGCAATGAAAATCAGACATTGCTTTTGAACTGTGGTTTAACGTAATTATTTAAAAAAAATAACAGGCCTGGACAAAAATGATGGTACCCCGAGAAAAGACTGAAAATAATGTGACCGTAGGGACATGTTCAATCAAGGTGTGTCCTCCAATTAGCATCACAGGTGTCTACAAACTTGTAATCAGTCAGTCGGCCTATTTATAGGGTTACAGTAGTCACTGTGCTGTTTGCTGACATGGTGTGTAGCACACTAAACATGGACCAGAGGAAGCCAAGGAGAGAGTTGTCTCAGGAGATTAGAAAGAAAATGATAGACAAGCATGTTAAAGGTTCAGGCTATAAGACCATCTCCAAGCAGCTGGATGTTCCTGTGACTACAGCTGCACATACTATTCAGAAATGTAAGATCCATGGGACTGTAGCCGACCTCCCTGGACGTGGCTGCAGGAGGAAAAGTGATGACAAATGGAAGAGATGGATAATATGAATGGTACCAAAAGAGCCCAGAACAACCTCTAAAGACATTAAAGGTGAACTCCAAGATCAAGGTACATCAGTGTCAACCGCACCATCCATCGTTGTTTGAGCTAAAGTGGACTTCATGGGAGACAACCAAGGAGGACACCATTGTTGAAAACAAATCATAAAAAAGCCAGACTGGAATTTGCGAAACTGCATGTTGACAAGCCACAAAGCTTCTGGGAGAATGTCCTATGGACACATTGGACAGACAAGACTAAACTGGAACTTTTTGGCACATCAGCTCTATGTTCACAGACGCAACAATGAAGCCTATCAAGAACAGAACACTGTTCTTACTGTGAAACATGGAGGAGGCTCTGCTATGTTCTGGGGCTGCTTTGCTGCATCTGGCACAGGATGTCTGAATCTGTGCAGGGTCCAATGAAATCTCAAGACTATCAAGGTGTTCTAGAGAGAAATGTGGCGCCCAGTGTCAGAAAGCTTGGTCTCAGTTGCAGGTCATGGGTCTTGCAACAGGATAATGACCCAAAACACACACAGCTAGAAACACCCAAGATGGCTCAGAGGAAAACACTGGACTATTCTGACTTATATAAGCCCTGATGTAAATCCTATTGAACATCTGTGGAAGGAGCTGAAACATGGCGTCTGGAGAAGGCACCCTTCAAACCTGAGACAACTGGAGCAGTCTGCTCATGAGGAGTGGACCAGAACACCTGCTGAGAGGTGCAGAAGTCTCACTGACGGTTACAGAAATGGTTTGATTGCAGTGATTGCCTCAAAAGGTTGTGCAACAAAATATTAAGTTGAGGTTACCATCATTTTTGTCCAGGCCTATTTCATGAGTTTTTTTTTTCTAAATAATTGTACGTAGCTAAATTTAAAACTCAAATATCTAAAACAAATCACACAGAACAGTGAAATCTTCAGACCAGAGGCATGGGCAGCTGTACCTGGCGCTCTTGATGTCTCCTGGGCTGGACTTCTCAATTTCTGGACAGATCTTCCTCAGCATGTCGCAGTACTGCTGAGTCTTAAACTGCGTCGGGCAAACCACAGCTTTAACCCCGACCTGCACGAACACGAGCAGAGGATTCACTTTAATGTGGTGACGTTACTCTGCAGGTCACAGCATTAAGATCAGCATGTAAGATCACTCACCTTCCTCAATGCAAACTCCACTTCCTGTGGCTGGTACGCTGGGTTCACCGACACCTGCAGAGTGGAACGACAGCGTTTTGTTATGATGTAAAAAAAATCAAAGTTAGATTTTTTTCAGGTTTTCCTTCATTAACATTTACCAGAGTGAGACAAAAAAAACCAACCTATACTATAATGCTTTTCATTAATATTCATTATCTACAACATCTGCCATTAACAGACCAACATGTGTGTGTTTGTCTGTTAATAAATATCCATATTTTCAAGTCACAGATATTTTTGGGTTCTTCCAACTTGAATCATCAAATTTTTACAACAATTTCTGCTTCTCTGTATAAAACATGCAGCAAACAGTCCACCTCAAATAGCTTCAAATATGGATATTTATAGAGATATTTTTCAAATTTTAGCCGGACATAGCAAGAATTTCTTTCGGGATTCAAGAATTTCTTTTGAGGCTGTTTGAGCGACAATATTTCAGGAACTATTAAAGATAAAAGCCTGACGTTTTCACGGTTGTTTCTCATCATGAAATTGATTCAGAATCTGCAATAGTGGACAAGTAGATGGAACAATCTCTGATTGTGGAGGAGTTAAGTTTGGTGGGAAAAAATGTAAAGCCGTTATGAAAAGTCCCATTTTTGAGCACAAGTTTTTTTTTTTAAAGTTGACAGTGCAGAAGTCACCTAGTGATATATTCTGAACCATATGTAGCTGCGTGTCACAATAATACAAAAACTATTTTAAAAAGGCTTTCATTTCCTAAAACAGCTGGACACTGTAGCTTTTAGCAAATGCTACTGAAACAGGAGTAAATGATGCACTAATTTGGGACTATTTTCAGCAGCGGATGAATACACATTTATTTCTGGGATTTAATAATAATATGAAACTAATCAGGACACATTCATGGTAGGTTTAGATGTGTTTAGTTTAATTTGTAGTACAGCCAGACTTAGAATTTAACTGATTTGTAAAATTTGCATGTCAGAAGTATTTTGGCTGAATTACGTGTTGCTGATTTAAAGGATGACAATTTAAATCCATCATTTGTCGTCTATATCTGCCCAAAATCTCCCATAGGTGGTCAATTAGGTTGAGATCTGGTGACTGTAAAGGCTTTGACATTTGATTCACATCATTTTCAGTTTCATCAAACCATTCAGTGACCCTTCATGTAGATGGAAGCATTATCATCCCTGAAGAGACCACTTCCATCAGGATAGAAGTGTTTCATCACAGGATAAAGGTGATTACTCAGAACTACTTAGTACTGATTTTAAGTAAACCTTCCCTCTGAGGAGACAAGTGGAAACAAACCACGGCAGCAAACAGCATAATAAAGTTGCACTACTGTCAGGCTTTTTCCTTTAATTTGTCACCTGATGGTAGAGCTCAGTCTGGAACCTACACCTCTGATGAATCAGACGACTAGAACTAAACCTTTTCTTGGGATGTGACGAAGATGAGAAAAGACAAAGCTGCACCAATCAAATCTGCTGAAGAAATTTTTCTCATAGTCCTCATGTGAAGTTTGCTGTCGTGCGTGTTTATTAGTATTCCGGGGGTATCAGGGGTCTGTGACCATCAAAATAAAAGAAAATGACTTTCTTCATCAAATCTTAGCTGTCAAATCATGTTCAGGTCCTGTTGCCTTGTTGTGCAGACTGTGCTCTAATCTGAATCTTTGTTTGCACCAAAACTCTCAAAACCTGATGGTGTCTCTTTTTTGAAGGAAGTGAAAGTAAAGAAGATGCTGCTGGTACTGGAGATAGTGGAACAAAAACAACATGTGCAGCAGATCTACGGAGACTTGTGGGAAAATAAAACCACAAAAACAGTCACGTGTGGAGATATTTTGTGTGTAAAGATCAGCGACAAGTTACAGACGACAAAAAGCAAGAAAGCGAGCTGTGCCATATTTGGAACACAGAAGCTCAAAGAAGTATTCAAGCTAAAAGAGTTTCCATTTTTAATTTAGCTTGCTAACACATCCTTAAATATCTCTGTTTGTGAATTTTTGGTACCAAATTTGGTATCAAGAATTGCAAAGTTTCAGCACCTGGCGTTGACTCACCAGTATAATTCCAGCTTTGGCCGTTGCAAACTGGAACAAGACCCACTCAAAGGTGTTTGGGCCCCACATGCCGAGTCGGTCCCCCTTCTTCAGTCCGAGTGCCAGCAGCCCGGCAGCAGCCTGATCCACCTGCAGAGACACAACACACGTTTGTTGACTACAGCTGAAGGAGATACGATCAAACATCCTGCAGATTGTTTGCAGCTCCAGACGTGGCCTGTTTAGATCCGTAAGACGCTGTCGGGGAAACACTTCTCATCCAGTTGGTGGTTTCAGTTACACCAATGTTAGAGTCATCTTTTACATCACATTGTGATACACATGATTTATAAATCTGACAATTTAGTGTGACGCAAATAAGAACAACCTTTATTTGAAACCAGCTTGTCATACAGGACGGCTTTTATGTCTAATTCATCTGTTCGAGATGTACAACTTGATTATTTAGTATAAATGTCACTTTGAACTGCTTCTTAAAGTAAATAAAGGAAACACAGTAAGTGGCTTTTAAAGGGACGACAGATGTATGAGAAAAACAATTTGTGAGACGCAACGTTTACGTCACATTTGCTTACATAGCTTTGTTGTTTCGTAGTTACTTACTTTAATTTAGTGGGTTTAATTTAAACAAACAACAACAACATTAATTTTAAGTGTGCAGGGTGATTAGGTCAGATAGCAAGTATTCATAGTAAGTGATTGCATCACCTTTAAATTGAACAGTATTTGTTCATGTGTCAAAATAAAATCAGTTTATACTTATTATATTAAAAAAAAAACAGGCCCCATGGTAGAAACATGATGCTACAAAAGTCAACACACCTTTCATTACAAACATCCAAAACTTGTATATTTTCAGTAGTTTGCATCAACCAATCTCTTTATTTATGTAGCACTTTTCAGACAAATATAAAGCAACACAAATGTGCTTTTACAAAAAAAAAGAAATGCAATAAAAACAGTACAAACAACATGGAGGATACAATATTTCTGGAGAGTCTATTTTTTTCAGCTGCTCTACTTTTTATCTTTAAAACACCCAGGTTCTTGTCCAGGTTATAGTTTTGACTTTTTTCTTCTTTAGGAACTTCTGTCTAATTTAGAAGGCGTGCTGTGGTAGTTATGATGCTGGAATATTCTGCTTCTGCCAAACTTCGGCAGTCTGGGAGTCATCTTCTTGTCAAGCAGTATTTTGGTAGATCCACAGGAATTCATGTTAGCCTCTGTTAATGTCATGTCCCCAACAGCCTCATAGCATCACACTCTCATGTCTGTCAAGTTTCTGTTCATGTGTGCACATTTGATGTCTTGTCTTTCCTGTTTTATTTTGAAATCACTAACCAGTTGTCTCTGTCCTACATTTACTTCCTGCACCCATCTCGTCACACCTGCTCCCTGATGGCTCTCCCTCACCTGTTTCCCATCTCCCCTCATTACCTCGTGTATATTACCTTGGCTGTGTCCGAAATCACTCCCCATGCTCTACATAGTGCACTACATAGGGTGCACGCCATTTTGTAGTGTTGTTCGAATTCTCAGCGGTAAATTTCATCCTCTATATAGTGCACTCAAAATATCCCACAATGCACCGTAAAAAGTAGTGTACAGCCGATGGTCACTAACTGAGCAATATGGACCGTCATGCATTGCTCGAAAGGAAATGGAGATGATGCAGAAAAATTCCCGTTTGTTTTGTTAAATTTTATTTTACCCGGACAGTGAACGTCGCTAAAATTGCGGCGCTCGGTTGTGATGTGGACATACAACACCACTTTATTTAAATTGCTTTTAGTTACTGGATCCTGAAGAAACACTCTCCCATCTGGTATGTACAGCAAAATGACAATAAACTTGTTTTAATTTGATTTCTTAGCTACGCAATAGACTGTTAATTTGATGTGTTTGTACAACGCTGTTGCGGCACAAATCACGGCTAGCGAGCGACGTAGTTAATAGCTCGAGTCGTGTCCGAAATGATACTTTGCCGTGGTGCTCCCTATAGAGTGCACTATATAGTGATCACTATATAGGGAACACTATATAGGGAGTAGGGAGTGAGTGGGTGATTTCAAACACTGCTCTTGTGTGTCTCAGTCTCGTTGCACATCACAGTCTTCGTACCAGCGTTATCATAGTCACAGTCTGCTTTGTTACGACCTTGTTTTTCTGCCTTCGACCTTGTCTTTTGCCTGCCATTTTTGGATACCTCTGCCTGTCTGGATTGACCACCTGATACTAACCTCTGCCTGTTAATAAACATGTCTTTTGCCTGAACCTTTTCTGTGTCGCGCCATAGTGTCCACCTGTTCTGCTCACAGTGACTTCTTGACACACTCCTACGTCTGTGCTTCACTGTCAGGACTATGCATTCACTGTGGTAGTCCTGGACAGGTTCACACCAAACATCCTCAAACTTTACCGTTGTCTCATCTGACCAAAAAAAAAAGGTTCTGTCAGTACTCATCAGGCTTTGTTTCGTGTTAATCAAGAAAGTTTGTCTTGTCCTTCTGTGCTATAAAGCGAGCAAAGGTTTTTACTTGGATACCATCCATAGAGGTGGATGTTATGCACGTCCTTCACCTTATCTGAGCTGTCACAGAAACTCTGATTTCCACTGATAACCCCAGTGCCAAGTATGAAATCCATTTTCAAGACGGACATTGTGCAAGTAGTTCACTGTCCTTGGCGTCGTTTTAGAAGGACAACCACTGCAGTTGTGATTCGTGGTACCATGGCTCCTTCTGTACCTCTTGATTACTGCTGCAAATGATTTTTAGTTGGTCACTGATCTTCCTTTACACTTTTCCATCTCTGCAAAGTCGGCCAATAAGTGAATTCTTTTCCATGTGGACCTACAGATCCAAAACTGACAAAGTTCTGGTGTTCGTGGCTCATTTTATAAGCTTGTTCGTACAATCTGGCTACCTGGAAATCACAAGTGTTCTCAATTTAGTTTCAGGTTTTTAAACTTGGGTATGAGTGAGTGTGTTTTGTGCGACTCCTCGTTTTCCTGAATCTCTACAACAGAGGCGAAAGGTACGAAGTTAACAGAGTCACGATGCTCTACAAGGTGAAAATAAAATGTTTTCATAGACTCATTAAGCTGTAATGAAACACGTCTTTGCAAGTGAATGCCAGGCAGAGCAGAGAAATAACATCAAAAAGACAGACAATAAGTACAAAGATAGAATAAGAAGCAGAACTTGTTGTCCTTATCAGTAATAAAACAGATAAGACGGTTATTATCTGATTAAACTCTTTGTACCGGGTTAACGACACCAATCGCTGATATCACGGTGACTCTGAAGACGGAACAATGGCTAACATGACACTAAAACATAACTGGCTCGTGGTTTACAGGACTGAACACACAGCTGGCTGCCCAAGTAGACTTTGACACTGTTATGGGTCGTGGTGTTGAAGCCGCAGTGATTCTGTAGCACCACCGCTTACATAAATAGTGTCAGCAATTTTTTATTTTGTTTCAAAATGCAGTTGAAAGAAGTAAATGAGTTACCTGCAGTTCTGGTGTGACTACTGAATATCTACAATATCTGTGGACAGTGATTAAACATTAAACATTACTCCCAGTGCTTTGATGTCACTGAGGAAAACAGTGACATGAATTATTGCTTTTCCTGTCACAACTTTTACAGGACGGATTAATAAACGGGCCATTGGTCTTTATAATCAACTATAAAGAGAACTATAAAGACCCAGAAGAGACGCAATAAAACAGAGATTAAACTAATAAATGACACAAAAGGACACTTATAGGACGCAAAAGAACCACTACTAGATGCAAAATGGTTGCAAATAGATGCAAAGCAACCAGAAAAGACTCAAAAATGACCAGAAAGAGATGCAATCTGACCAGAGCGGACAAAAATGAAACATAAAAGGACTGCTAAGATGCACAAATACAACAACAAAACACCTCCAAGATGCAAGACAAGACTTCTACACAGTGCTAAACAGCCACAAAAAGACCCAATCCAACAAAAAAAATGGATTTAAACCAACGACAAAGACACAAAATAAACAGAAAGAAATAGAAACAGAAAAAAGAAATGCAAAAGAAACACAAATAGATGCAAAAAGAAATAAAAGCACGGCTATGTGTAAAAGGGTAGCAAGGAGACACAAAATTAGATGCAAAATGATGCAAAAGAGAGATTCAAAAATGACCAGAAAGAGATGAAAACTGATTAAATGCGAAGAGACATCAAAGTTCCCCAAAGAGAAATAACAAACAATGAGAAAGAGATGCAATGACACACAAAAGAAAAAACACTACAGAGACTCGAAATGACCCAAAAGAGATGCAAAGTGACCAGAGAGGGACAAAGCTGACAAAAAAAGGAATGCAAAATTAACAAAAACTAATGCAAACAGAGATTAAAGCCAGCTAGGACACACAGAAGGACAGGAAGAAGACACGCAAAATACAACCAGAACAATAAAGACTCAAGACTAAAGAAACATGACCAGAAAGAGATCCAAAATGAACAACAATAGGAAAGAGATATCCAGACCCAAAAATGGCCAGAAGGACGTGCAAACCAATGAAAAACAGATGCACAATGAGCATTAAAAGAATGTAAGCTCAATGCAAGCTGACAAAACAACAGCAAAGAGACACAGAGGGATCAGAAATCGATGCAAAACAACCACAAAGACTCAGATATAAGACAAAAAGGTACAAAATGACCAGAAAGAGATGAAAACTGACTAAAAATCTATGCAAAATGAGCACAAACAGACATGCAGAATCACCAGAAAAAGATGCAAAACAATGAAAAACAGATGCAAAATGAGCACAAATAGATGTTAATGCAATGCAAAGAAAAGAAACCTCCAAGACACACAAAAGGACCACTGCTAGATGCACAACAGCTGCAAAGAGTCTCAGAACGACTACAAACAGACTCAAACCAATAAAAAAATGCAACATGAAGATAGAAGAATACAAACAGACACAAAACACCAGAAATTAGACAAACAGAGTCAACACATGTCAGCTTTTTTGTAGATTTTTCTTTCTTTCTTTCTTTCTTTCTTTGTGTTTTTCACAAATTAAAAAAAGAGACAGAAAAACACACACATTTTCCCAGGTGTACACAGTGTGTTACTATTTCTTCACAAAATGCCGGCCTACTACTACTACTACTACTACTACTACTCCTACTATTACTACTACTACTGCTGCTGCTACTACTACTACTACTTGTTTGTTTCCCTGCTTGCTTCTTATCTCCTTTCTGTGAACACAACCTGTGGTTCAGCCAGAGATTCCCAGAAGTTGTGTTATGTGACACTTGCTCACAGCTGCATCACTAATGGCGTCATATTTATGAGATGAAATGCAGAATTTTTCTTTTTTTCTCCAGAATTTGGTTAGAACACACTGTTTATTTTTGTAAAATTTTTAATTGGGACATGTAGAATAAAAATTTTTTTGATGAAATGTCACAATTTTAAGCTTGGATTTAGTGAATTTTTCTGATTGAGCCGCAGATCACAGAAGATTAGTTCGAGGGCTGTCGTAAAGTCCAGAATCATTTTTCTGGCTCTGATAAATGGTGGCATTTAGCTTATTTTTCAAAAACGACTTGCTCTTAAAACCTGTCAGTTGGTTTTGAGGCCTCTCTGAGCTTCATCATTTGGGGTTCACCACACTGATAGACACTCAAACGACTCACCGCTTGTTGAAACTGTGCAAAGGTCTTGCGGACTCCGCCCTCAACAAAAACCAGCGCCTCCTTGTCAGGATGGCGCTCCACAGACCTCTGCAGGGTCTCTGCGACTGTGGCCTGCAGTAGCGGCATGGTCGACGTGGCGTGGGCATAGCTGATGGTGAGCCCTGGGACGATGGGCGGACAGTCCACATGGATGCCACTGAAAGGAAAACAACAGTTAGGTGATGTTTACTGGAGTTAAATTCAATCATAGATCTAGATCTGAGAGCACAGAGCGGGGGTTTGAATGTGAAAAACTATAGCATGGTTCTAATACGCATATGGAAGTGAGTTCCAAAAGAGGTGCAGCTATTTTGAGCTGTGAAATACCTCAAGGCTCTATCTAGGTTATCTTATATTTTCTATTTACGGGCCTCCACTTGGCTACATCAGTCAAGACATTTCTTTTCACTGCTGTACGAATGCACACGGCTCTACATATACTGTATGTTGTGTCAAGAATCTGGTTTAGCTCTTCCTGCTAACTCAAACAAGCCTATAGGAAGCAGCAGCAGGAAAAAAATGAAGCCTACACAGCAGGAATGTATATATCTGAGATGCTTTTGTCAACAAACCAGCTCCATGTAACTATGTTTTTATACTATGACTGGATCAAAGTGGGGCTGCAAGGTGGCACAGTTGGTAGCACTGTTGCCTCACAGCAGGAAAGTCGCCGGTTCACATCCCGGTGAGGACACCTGCGTGGAGTTTGCATGTTCTCCCCGTGCAGCGTGGGTTCTCTCCGGGTTCTCCGGCTTCCTCCCACACAGTCCAAAAACATGTTGAGGTTAATTGGTGATTCTAGATTGTCCGTAGGTGTGAATGTGAGTGTGCTTGGTTGTCTGTCTCTAAGTGTGGCCCTGTGATAGACTGGTGACCTGTCCAGGGTGTCTCCTGCCTTCACCCTGAGTCAGCTGGGATAGACTCCAGCCCCCGCGACCCTAGTGAGGATTAAGTGGTGTATAGATGATGGATGGATGGATCAAACTGCACAGAAAAAACAGATAAGACTTCTGTGTTGTAAGATTAAAATGAAAAAAAAGAAAAAAGTTCTAAAATGTGCTTCCTAAAAAATATTTACAGTTTTTCCTTTTCTTTTTATGCACATACAAAACTACCACTTTATTATTCACATAAAAACAAAAATGACATTAGCGTGACAAAGAACATTAATCCCAGCACATTCTGTAAATAATTTTTAAAAAATCTGAACCAGCCTTGTTCAGGTCAGTGAGACCACAATATTATATATTAACACTGAATTTGATGACTCAAAGTTGATGATCACACAAGCTGGTGACGAGTTGTTGCTTTTATTCTGGTCACTGCTGCATTTGTTTTCTCTTTGGGCAATTTTTCTTGTAGTTGAACATGAGAAGAAATTTTAGATAACACTGCAGATGCTCTTAATTAATATTTTTATTTTATTTTTTACATTTAGGCAATTCTAAACCTTGGCATTAGTGTTTAAGGTCAGACAACATTTTAATCTGAAAAAATATCCAAAACCAGTCTCTAAAATGTACATAAATATCTTCAATATTGTTCCAAAGAAAGTCATAATTTATTCCTCAGTATGTTTTTTTTTTTGTTCAGGACATTTTCAAACGTTATTTTTTTATACTAGAATAAAATAAACTATTGTAATATTTACTAACGAGCCAAACTCATATTATTATATTTGTTGACATATTGCAATGTACACTTAATAATAAATGTCAGTTTCAAAATAAAATAAATGAATGTTATTTAGGCCTACACAAGGAAATCTTCCAGGAATTGTTCTTCCATATTCATTGAGGTCCTCCAAGTTCTAAGGGCATACAGCAGGATTATACCTACAAAATGAGGTTGTACTTTCACTATGTCTCAGTTTCTTGAATTAAAGCCATATTTTGACACAGGACCTTAAGGTCGGGTAACAATTCTCGCCGTAGGACCCTTTTTCCGTTTGTGATTTAGTGGCAACAAGTCACTGCAAACCACGTGACTTCCAGTGAACCTGGAGCTTCGAGGGGCCTCATGAAGCTCGACGAGTTCAAGGTCTGGGGCCTTAAAGGGGAAGCAGTCTTCAGCAGCTTCACTACATTTCTCCATAAGAATGAAAGAGCTGAACATGTGCACTGCTGCTTTGGTCGCAGCTGCACACCTTTGCCCTCCCGTCCCTGCTCTGTTTGCACGCCTCTCTTTTGATATCTACTGTCAGATACGGCCAACGTTGCAAGAATAAAAAAAACAAAAAAAACATGCTATTAGCAGGCAAAGGTGGAGCAATAACTCACATCCTTTAAGAAGCAATGAATTTAGCTTTTTCTTTCCGGATACATCAGTGCTT